AAAGAATTGAGTGAATTGTTGTCCCGTTAATGTTGAAGGCTGCAATGCCTGTTAGTGCAAGCACCAACACAGGCGACTTTAACCCGATCCCCGCTATTTCATGAAGTCAACCTCTGATTGCCTTAATGAGATATGATTTTCCTGTGTTAGCAGTACCGATGATTATAATTCTCAATAGCTCAACTTGAAAACCCTTAAGTACATTATGATAATGTGATTCTACTCGATCAAAAATTATTTTTTGTTTTTCATTTAAAGTTTGATAATCTACTACATCAGTAATCAAGGTTACATTTTCATCTGTTTCTGTACTCTTCTTAGCATGATTAGATACTCTTTGCACGAAGGAGTTTGCTTCTGCTAGGTCAGTATTTGAATAATCTTATCTAACTTCATTGATCCAATCATGATTTCGATCAATATCACGAGATCCAAGGTCGAAAGAATGTTCAAGAATTGAATTAGGACCTATCTCTGCTAGTAGCATCCAGTCAAATCGGCATTCATCCTGTTCATCATCTTCCTCTTGACTTTCATCATCTGTAATCTCAACTTCATCATTATTTATGGGAGATCCGAGTAAATCAATTGGATCTTCATTGATTTCTTCAAAATAACTACTATATAAGACTGACCATGAAATATTATTGTTTTGGGTCAGCTGCTGAATGTCACGATGACGAACGTGAAGAAGAACTTTTATACAGCAGAACTCTTCACATTCTGGACCTTCTCGCAATAATGATGGTCATGGCCAAATGCGTATAATATTTTCTTTTTTGCATCTGTACCATCGATTATTAGCAAATTTATACGTTAAATTTAATTTAAATAATGAAAAATCTTCAAATTCCGAAGGTCTATCCCAGTATATTTTTAAAGTAGATCGTATTGTTGATCCAGTATTCGTAACTTCGATAGAATCCTCATTTTCACTGACACCCGTACCATGAAGCCATCATGCTACTTCTTTATTAATATTTAATGAAACAAATGTTCGACTTGAATGGTAAAGAGGAATTCCAAGAAGAAGATGACAGGTTTCTTGAGCGGATATGTCACGTTCTGCCACACTACGGAGCAATAATTTCTGGATTGGCGCAAGTAATCAATCTTCTAGCTTACTATTATGAAGTATCTGATCTAATATCTCTGAAAAGGCCAATGATCGTGGTTCTGCCTTACTCGCGTATTTGCAAATATATTGTAGAGCTACATGGATACTAAGAATGGGTTTTAAATCAACATTTGCTCTCCACCCTTGTATTTGAAGTCTGTTATGTGGATTTATATACGCATCATTTCTTGCCGTTATGAGTTCTGGATTGCCATAAATGTCATCACGCAAAAAGGTATAGTTGCTTTCTTCCTTAGGGTATCCAAATCTGCAAGATTGCTGTCCTTTACGGTTAACCCGAAGACAATACGAAGGACTACATCGTGTGTGTCATTGTAATTTATTAACTAATTCAATATAATCTTGTAGGTCATCGTGCAGTTCGTCACGACATTTTTTACATGGGTGTCGGTCAGGTATAGGGGCATTAGGCCTCGGGTTAATCATAGTAACTAGAGAGTCTATATATTGTACTACTTTTCTTAATGAACTCTCATCTTCCTTTATTTGTTCCCATTCAATTTTAGATGCATTTCTTATCTTTCCGATTCTATGTACATGGACACTACCCCTATGTTGCTATTCGAATCTATACCACCAGTCTTCCAAATCCCATTTCTTTATTAATACATCATGAAAAAAAATCTCGAAGTATTTATTAAAAAACCAAGTTGCAATATGAGGATTGTCGATGATGTTTTGATTATAATTTTCTTCAGATAGCATAAGTTTATGAAGTTCAGGCCAATGTAAATCAGTGGTGCTAAATGTAAAGAATATTAACCCTTGCGAACCTAACTGCTTGATCATATCTGATAGTTCACAATGTCTTGCGTTCCAGAACTGTCATGATCCACGTAAACTCTGACCAAATCTCATAATCCGATCAGCCATATGTGTATCACCTGCAGCAATCTTCTCCTGAATTTCTGTAACTGTAAGCTGATTGTCACTAAAATTCTGTCTAACGTACACTTTCCCTTCCTGTAGGGCTCGCCATCTCATTTGAGAATTAAGTGCGAAATATCTCCAACGATTATAACGAGCAAACCTTCCATCCTTATATTGTAATAAATGTTTAAAATACTCAGCTAGTTTAACATCCCTAATACGTTCTACATGAAGGTCAGCGTATCCAGTTGGGTAGAGAGTTGGAAATGCCCATGCCATGTAGCCTGATGTTTGGAATTCATTAATAGGATTGTTATCAATCCTTGGTCATGCTATAGTATCGTTATTAGTTAACATGCGGTTGATTGCATTACTTATAGCAATATCTTCTCAATCATCTGAAGGCAGACAAGGTACGAAGGTACGTGTAATTACTTCATCCTCATCCTCATTTTCTTCATTGAAATCATCATCTATTAATTGATTATTCTGAAGTTGATCATCAATAAAACTATCCTCCGGCAAGGAATGAAGATTTTTATTGTCTATGATAATTTCGGAGTAATGGTGATTATTTGCTTTCAGCTAATATAATGTACGAGTGATTTTGTTCTGATGAACTCTAAAATCTTTGAATGATGCTGAGTCTCTTTCGGAATGCCGACGTACAATAAGCACATTCAATGAAGATGGGTGTCTAGGAAGGCAAGTAGTAAATTCTTCTATGTCTTGAGGAAAGTTGATAATATTTCCTCTGTATCCGTATTGTCCTCCGCAAAGTCTGTAAACCACCATAACTGGGAAAACTTGTGCAATCAACATCTCTTCAATTTCAGTAAGTCCTTGGAGTTCTTCAGGTACCTCACCTGGATCCATATTATTTTCTAATGAAAATTTTTTTGGTAAGGTTTTCTCAGAATAGCAACGATAACATTCTCCCATGACAAGCACTATAGATGGAAATTTTTCATTACAAGTTAGACAATATACGTGGTTTAATTTATCTATTTTAAGCTGAAATCAGTTCAGAAAATCTTGATCGAGTTCACTAAGAACAGTAGAGAGTTGATTGGCATATATAATATCATTACTTTGAGGCATATCAACTTCTTGTTGCAAATTAGTATCATCTAACGTATCTATTTCATCTTCATTATCTAAAACACTCATATCCATTTCGTTTTCGTCTTTTAGAACATCCATTTCATTTTCATTATCTAGAACATATATTTCGTCTTCTTCATTTTGAATATCCATTTCTTCCTCGGTACTTATAAATTTTTGTTTTTGTGTCTCAAGTTTCTTTGTTGCTCTTTTTTGCTATCTATTCTCACATTCCCACTTGAGACATATCTTACGATGCTGAGATGATTCTTCTTTTCTGTTTCTACATTTTCGAAGTGTATCTTGGGAAGTGAAGATTTCTCCTGTTTGGTTTTCTTCTATTTGACTCGTTTGGATTTCTTCTTGGTTTTCTTCTATTCGATTTTTTTCAATTTCTTCCATTTGGTTTTTTAACTTGTCGAGAAGTTAATGTAGTTCAAATTCTAAACTCGTATTGTATTTCAGGAGAGCCTGAACAAGAAGATTCAATTTAAATTTTATATCAACGAAATAAGTCTAGCTTGTTTATATAACAAAAATTTATTAAAACTAACGAATACTCTATAAATTCACAGGGAATTGCACATTTTATTAACTTGGAAATTTATAAAATGAATGTATAGAACTTTATTGAAGGCAAATTACAAGATCTTTTATACTTTTAATATTTCATAAAAATCCCAGGCATTCCTATCTCGGCATTTTATTCTTTACCCTCAGGACATATCTCATCTAACGCCCATTTTTACTTTTAATTTATCAACGATGTATTTTATTTATTGCGCCTCTTCCTGATTCATTACGTTTATTTACAGATACCTCATCGCTTGTGTCTAACGTGTCTTCTACACATATTGTCCTGACATCACATCTAATTTAATTACCAACATTGCTATCTACAAATAAAGGCTAAGTAATACTGAATAACTAAATAAGGTAACAAATAACGCAATAAATTTAAAATTTAAAATAGGAAATAAACAATACACAGCTAATAAATAATGCAAGATATGTACTACGTAATAAAAAAAAAAGATTTTTTAATAAAGATTTATTAAATGAATAAATTTTTTAAGTAATTTTTTTATTGCAACTAGTGATCTTTTCTAATTACCAAAAAATTCGTGCTTACCTAACCGATAAAAAGGTTTCGCCCAGTCAAATTTAGGATCAGTTGTATAAAAATGCCAAAATTCAGTAGCTCGAAATTTTGCATATTGAAATCGGATAATACGGCGAGTTAGTCGCTCAACACTCCAATACTTCACGTAACCCATGAATGGTTTAGTCAATAAGAGATGTTTGTTTGGCAAGTAGTATGGATATCGTGAGTAAGTATTTCTCCTTTAATATCTTAGTTTCTCTTTGCTGAATTCTCTATAACTCTAACCTCAATTACTTTGGGTAATTGGATAATAACGATTAACCACAACTATCATCAGTTCTTCGGAATAGTTGAACACAAATACCATGGCTGATCCTAGTACTTTAGGATACAACAGCAGGACGGAGATACAATATTTCAGAGTAATTATAGTT